ACCAAAACAAAACAACACTATAAAACTATAAAACTCCTAGAACATGACACAGGAGAAAATTTAGATGACCTTGGACTTGGTGATGACTTTTTAGATGTATCACCAAAGGCACAATCCATGAATGACAGAAATGATAAGCTGGATTTTATTAAAATTAAAAATTTCTGCTCTGCAAAAGACATTGTCAAGAGAATTAAAAGCCACAGACTGGTAGAAAATCTTACAAAAGACATATTGAATTAAGGACTGTTATCCCAAATATACAAAGAACTCTTAAAAACTCAACAATAAGAAAATAAACAAATTTATTTTAAAAATGGGCCAGTAACTTTGACATCTCACCAAAGAAGATATACAGATGACAAGCCCATGGAAATATGCCCCACATCATATATCACCAGGGAAATACAAATTAAAAGAACCATGAGATACCACTACACACCCATTAGACTGGCCTAAATCCAGGACACTGAAAACATAAGTACTGGCTTGGATACTTGATGGATATCAAGGATATGGAGCGGCAGAAACTCTCATTCATTGCTGGTGGGAATGTAAATGGTATAGCCATTTTGGAAGGCAGTTTGGTGGTTTCTTACAAAACTAGTTGTTGCCAGAGTTTAGGGGGAAGGAGAAATGAACAGGCAGAGCATGGAAGATTTTTAGGGCAGTGAAGCCACTCTATGTGATACTATAATAGTAAATACATGATGCTGTAAGTTTGTGCAAACCCATAGAATGTACAATGCCAAGAGTGAACCTGAATGTAAACTATGGACTTTAGGTGATAATGATGTGTCAATGTAGGCTCATCAATTATAACAAATGTATGACTCTAGTGAGGGAGGGTATGCATGGGGGTGGCAGGCAGAGGCTATATCTTTGTACATGCCACTCAATTTTGCTGTGAACCTAAAACTGCTTAAAAGAAAAAAGCCTATTAAAAAGTTTGTTGGGAGGCTGAGGCGGGGGGATCTCTTGAGTTCAGGAGTTCGAGACCAGCCTGGCCAACATGGTGAAACCCTGTCTCTACTACAAATACAAAATAGCCGGGCACGGTGACGCATGTCTGTAATCCCAGCTACTCGGCAGGCTGAGGTAGGAGAATCCCTTGAACCCAGGAGGCGAAGGTTGCAGAGAGCCAAGATCGTGCCACTGCACTCCAGAGTGAGACTCTGTCTCAAAAAAAAAAGAAAGAAAAAAAAAAGTTTGAGAGATATGGGTTAAGAAAAAAAAATTAAAGTAAATTTGAGCCTCTATTCTGTAAAATGAGAGTAAAATAATGTAAAAAGCTGGCATGGTTGGTACAAAACTGCTTCATTTAAGAACAAAAAAAAAAAACTGCCGGTGGCAAGGTACATCAAAAACAATTCTGTGGCAGAATGTTAATATGAATCCATATGAACTTCCTCCTACTAGTTTAATTTTTGGACATTTACCCCCGGAAATAATTCAAGAAACTATAAAAGGTTTTTGTATAAGAATATTTACAGTTATTGATACTAACAAAAAATTGTAAACCTGCCAGTGTTCCTATGCTAAGTAAATGTTGCCATGAGCCACAGTGACCTAGGCCAGAAACCTGATGTAAAGCTGGACTCCTCCTCGAGATCTGCATAACCCCCAGGCCTGTCACATCTACTCCCCACATATCTCTCAGATCTGTCCATGCCTCTCCATTTTCACCAGCACCACGTGAGTATGGGCTGTCTCACCCCCAACCTGAACTGCTGCAGTCATCATCTGTGAGTTATCCCCCTGCTTATCTCACCACCATCCAGTCTATTCTCCATACCGCAGAGTGGTCCCTCCAGAATGATAATCTGATGATGCCCATCTCCCTGCCTGAAAACCTTCATCTGCCCTTAAGAGGAAGCTCAAATTCCTTAATATGACTTTCAACATCTACCTAAACGATACCTGTCTACTGCCTTTGCCATTCCCACTGCCCAGGCAGAGGGAGCTTCTTACAGCTCCCTGAATGTGTCAAGCTTTGTCTAACCTTCAGACCTTACCACGTGCTCTGCCCTCTTGTCTAGGCTTGTCTCCCCCCAAAAACATCTCAGTACTTTTTGTAACTGCCAACTATACTTGCTGTCTTTGGTCTCTCACATCTCACCTGCTATATAATCTGGTTTCTGTTCTTTTGTTTTGTTTTGTTTTTGAGACGGAGTCTTGCTCTGTTGTCCAGGCTGGAGTGCAGTGGTGCAATCTCAGCTCACTGCAAGCTCCGCCTCCCAGGCTCATGCCATTCTCCTGCCTCAGCCTCCCGAGTAGCTGGGACTACAGGCTCCCACCATCACGCCCGGCTAATTTTTTGTATTTTTAGTAGAGACGGGTTTCACTGTGTTAGCCAGGATGGTCTTGATCTCCTGACCTTATGATCCGCCTGCCTTGGCCTCCCAAAGTGCTGGGATTACAGGTGTGAACCACAGGGCCTGGTCTGGTTTCTGTTCTAATCATCACCCCAGTATTCACCTCAACAAAGTCATCAATGAAAGAAAAAGAAAAAAAAATAACATAAAAGGAAAGAGAAAATTAAAAACATCCAAATTTAGCACTATGTATCAGGTACTGTGCTAAGCTCTTTACAAACTTATTTATCCTCTCTGGAATTCCATGTCCTCCAAAACAGTGAAAGGTATCAAAAAGGAGGGAGGCCAGGCGCAGTGGCTTACGTCTGTAATCCCAGCACTTTGGGAGGCCAAGGTGGGTGGATCACGAGGTCAGGAGATGGAGTCAGGAGTTCACAACCAGCCTGGCCAACATGGTAAAACATCGTCTCTACTAAAAATACAAACATTAGCCGGGCATGGTGGTGGGCACCTGTAATCCCAGCTACTCGGGAGGCTGAGGCAGGAGAATCGCTTAAACCCAGGAGGTGGAGGTTGCAGTGAACCCAGATTGCACCTGCACTTCAGCCTGGGCAACAGAGTGAGACTCCACTCAAAAAAAAAAAAAAAAAAAAAAAGAAAAAGAAGAAAAGAAAAGAAAGGGACAGAGGACACCACTTTCATTTTTCCTTTTCCTCCCTGTTTTCCTGGCAATCTTTCTCTGTTTCATTTGCTAGGTAATCCTTCTTTACTTCAGTCGTGAATACTGAAATTTCTCAAGAATCTGTTATTGGTTCTTTTCTCCCTCCATCAACTCTCCCTAGGTGATCTCATCCTCTCCCAGGGCAATCACTACGTGTAAGGGGATAACTTTCTGACCTATATTCTGAGCACCAGCCCCGATTATCTAACTGCCTATTGTCATTTCCACTTGTATGCCTCACAGGCATCTCAAACTCATCATCTAAAACACAGCTTGCCATCTCTCCATCACCCAGTCACACACCAGTTCCCTGGTAGAAACGGCACAAACATCTACTCAGCAGTCCATGCCAGAAACCTGGGAGTCATCCATGACTCTTCCCTTCCTTCTCTCCCCCACATCCAATCAATCTCTATGTCCTATTAATTCTGCCTCCTAAATCTTTCCTACATCCATCTACTTCTCTTCATCCCCACTATCTTCACCCTAGTTCAAGCTACCATCATTCTTACGTTTGGCTACCTCAGTAGCTTCCTAAGTGGTCCAGTTCTATGGTTGGCGCAACTTCCCCAATCCATTCTCTACAAATCAGCCAGAACAATCTTTCTAAAAAGTACTGGTTTTGAAAGAGAGCATGCCATTTATTGGGTGTGTACTCCTGGGCATATCACTCAACCTCTCTAATTCTTGGCTTCCTTATCTATAGATGGGAAATAATAATGTGTCACGGGGTGGTAATCATGATTAAAAGAGACAATCTAGATAAAGTGAGAAAAAGGGGCACTCTAACAAACTGTGAGTAGGAGTATAAATTGTCAGACAAATTACAATAAGAAATATTAATGAAATACTCTCAGGACCTTGTCACTGTATCTCATTTCAAATAACAAGAATAGATTGGTCTGTATCTTAAAACTTTTACAGGAAAAAATTATGAGAAAAACTTTTTTAAAAGTATCTTTGGCATGATACAATATAAAGACATAAAACTCACTATTATGGTTAATTTTACATGTGAACTTGGCTAGGCTATGGGGCCAGATTGTTTGGTCAAACACTAGTCTAGGTGTTGCAGTGAATACACAGTATTTTGTAGATGTGATTAATATTCACAATCAATTGATTTTAAAGGAGATGGATAATATCGGTGGCCCTCATCTAATCAGTTGAAGACCTAGAGTGAAAAACTGAGGTTTCTAGAAGAAATTCTGCTTCAAGACTGCAACACAGAAATCCTTCCTGAGTTTCCAGACTGACGGCCTGTCCTGTGGATTCCAGACTTACCAGCCCCTAAATTGCATGGGTCAGTTCCTTAAGAGAGACCGGACCTGGTGGCTCATGCCTGTAATCCCAGCACTTTGGGAGGCTGAGGCAGGAGGATCACTTGAACCCAGGAGTTTGAAACCAGCCTGGGCAACATGATGAAACTGTGTCTCTCAAAAAAAAAAAAAAAAAAAAAAATCAAAAACAACAACAAAAAAATCTCTGTCTCTGTGTGTGTGTGTGTGTGTGTGTGTGTGTGTTTGTGTGTACATATGCTATTGGTCTATTTCTCTGGAGAACTCTGATGGACACACTCACTGAGGAATCTTATAAAGTAGACTAGCAGCTAACAGATAAAACTCCAAGTGGCTTCAGGTGAAGACTTTAGAATGTAGAAAAAAGGAGTCCTTATCAGTTTGGTAACATACTCTCTAAATAAATATTAAAAGATAAAGAAACCACCTTTAGGGCATCTCAGACTGTTTGTGGTCTGTGCAGCTACTAACAGGGGACCAGTATCAGCACTTGCCCACGTGGCCATCTGATAAGAACACCCTTGTTGAGTGTCTACTCTAGGCCAAGTATTGTCCTTATCTATAGCAAATGACAAAGCCAGACATTTTCAGAGCGGCTGTGCCACTTGTGTCTATGAAAAGCATTGGGTCTAGAACAGCTTTGGTAGCCAGGACATTGTAGCTTACCTGGAGGAAGTGGTTAATGGATACATCGTGGAGTCCCAGGGCTTGCTCTACACCTGCTAATTCTCTCAATATGGGTACACACTCATGACTTTTTTCACCTTTACTGATCTCAACATATTCCAAAGCTGCTTGATAGTGGGACAAAGCTTCTTTTGATTTTTTCTGACCTTGACACACCCTAAAAAACAAAGGAATTATTTTATTTAATAATTAAAATAGAAAATACTGAAAATATAGGTGAGCTGGTAGTTGGGATGTGACTCTTTGATCCCTGGTGTCCAGGTTAGTTTCCTTGCTAACTAAGCTTTTCCTCCAAGAACCAGCTGGGCACGGTGGTTAAGAAAATGGGCTCTGGAATCACCAGGAAGGTTCAAGTCTTGGCTTCACCACTGACTAGATGTATGACCTTCCAGTCACTCAGTTTCCTCATTTGTGAGTTAAGGATAACAGTGCCCACACTTCATTGGGTTATTATGAAGATTAAATTAATTGACATTCATAAAACACCTAGAATAACCTCTAATACATAGTAAGTGCTATATAGGTAGGTATAATCTGGGAAGGAAAAAGATTAATAGGCGACCCAGTAATACTGGGCTTCCTTTCTGTGGGCTTCGTTGCTTCACAAAACAATTGCTGAAGGAGCTTCACAAAACAATGATAGCAATCATCAAGGAAGGGATGCTGAGATGATAATAACTGATCTGTTGAGAAATTTTAGAAATTTCCCAGTACTGGGGAGGATGTGAAACACTCTCATTAACTGCTGAGGAGAATATAATTTGGACATAAACTTTTTTATATCAAATCATACACATATATGTACACATATACACATACAATTTTGCTAATTCCAATTCTAGGAATTTATCTTGAAGTGATACTCTGGCAGGGCAAGAAGATATATATACAAGAACATTTATCTTAGTATTCTCTATAATGGTGGAAAAGTCCAAAGCACTTAAAATGCACCAATAGGAGACTATGCAAGCAGGTTACAGTAAGTACGTCTATACTGTGGAATGCCATGTAGCCATGAAAATTAGTGCTGATCCATATTTATTGACACAGAAGTTTACCCATTCTATATACTTCAGTGAAAAATCAGGCTCCAAAATATTCTGTATATCATCTCATGCATGTGAAAACTTTATATCTAATCTGCGTGTACACATATGCACAGAAAGATGGCAAAAGCCATTGCTATGTTAGCAATACTTACCTCTAAGCTGTTAGACTGTAATTTTACATTTCTTGTTTGTGCTTTTCTAAATATCCCAAATTTTCTTCTATGAAAATGTGTTACTTTTATATCATAAAAATGCTAATTTAGAAATTATAAGTAAAGGTGGCAGTGGGAAAATATTTCTATACCTTCTTAGAATAAGAATCTCTCATATAAAAAATGTATGCCTACATATTTTTTAGCAAACACAGCACATATTTAAAAATAATCTTCTCCAGAATATTTGTTAAGACTATTAGGAACCTTTTCTTTCATGGAAAAATTTTATGTGCAAAATTTATAATCCCTCCTATGTTGCCCTCCACACTAGAACTTTTAATATCAAAAGGCCTTGTGATTCCCAAGCTGCCCAAGGGAAAACTAAAAGACTACCAAAAAAAAGGTATTATTTTCAACTCAACCACTGGGTATTTTTCACACCTATTTTTGCTCTCCAAAGGAATTAACTGCTGGAAGTAAAGATACTTTTTGGATCTGTGGTCCAGATGGCCACAGTGGAATAAAATGCTGAGTGAACAGTTTATGAATCTGGATACCTTCTATAATTGTGAAGAGGTTTAAAAACACAGGAAGAATTCAGGGACTAAGGAGGGCTGTAGCTTGTAGAAACTTTAATCTGGGAAGGAAAAAGATTAATAGGTGACCCAGTAATACTGGGCATCCTTTCTGTGGGCTTCCTTCCTGATGCTGAAGGAGCTTAGAATGTAATGGGTAATCCTTAGTTTTGTAAATATCATACTTTATATTTGAAGAGAAAACCCATTAGAACCTTTGGTGATAGAAAGAGTCTCTGAAACATATGGTTGGTAAGAAATCACTTAGCCAAATACTTAGATTCTGTGGTAGACAAAGCTTAAATAACTAAAAATGGGGGTCAGCAAATTATGGTGTGAGGGCCAAATCTGCTGTTTTTATAAATAAAGTTTTATTGGCACAATGCCATGCCTATTCATTTACATATCATCCATGGCTGCTTTTGAAATATGACACAGTTCATTGGTTGCCACAGAGACCATATGGCCTACAATATCTGAAATATTTATTATCTGGGCTTTTTTTTTTTTTTTTTTGAGACGGAGTCTCGCTCTGCCGCCCAGGCTGGAGTGCAGTGGCCGGATCTCAGCTCACTGCAAGCTCCGCCTCCCGGGTTCACGCCATTCTCCTGCCTCAGCCTCCCGAGTAGCTGGGACTACAGGCGCCCGCCACCTCGCCCGGCTAGTTTTTTGTATTTTTTAGTAGAGACGGGGTTTCACCGTGTTAGCCAGGATGGTCTCGATCTCCTGACCTTGTGATCCGCCCGTCTCGGCCTCCCAAAGTGCTGGGATTACAGGCTTGAGCCACCGCGCCCGGCCTATCTGGGCGTTTAGGGAAAAAGTTTGCTGACCTCTGGTCTAGAATCTAGAGAAAGTTACATACTTCCAAAATGATTTCAGATTTTTTTCCACCTAATTTAGCCTAGAGAACTCAGACAATGCCATGGATATTTGAGAGAAGGAAAAAAATCTTCATCTTTTTCCTGTCTCATGTTCATAATGATGCAGTGTGCCACTGAAGTAAAGAATGGGTCCTTTGTTTCCCAGACTGCCCGTAAAAGTCACAGAAGAGAAATGAAGGAAGTACAAACACCAAGATAATTTCATCTGGGCAATGGCTTTTAAAGAAAGCAGTGTTTAAAGTTTAGTAATCAAGCTCATAAGTGAGCAAAAAAGAAAACAACAAGGCATGTATTCATTGATATATCAAAAATTCCTTCTTTCCTGAGATAGGACACTAAAGAAAAGTGTTTGGGGGTTTGTTAATAGGTGAAGACCATGGAAAACTTGTAGCCACCTACTAACTATCTTAAGCCAAAAGCACAGCATATCATCCCAAGTTAACACCAGGTCACCTTTTCAGGTCTCAAAAAGTCATCCTTCAAATACCTGACTCTTAGAGAAAATGGTATGGAAAAGAACAGAAAATGAGAGGCAGGAAAATCAGTTGTAAGTACGCGGGAGTAGAAAACCCAAATTGTAGTCTGAGCAGCCTTGTTGACAAAGCTTGGACAAGAACAAAATGTCTCGAATCTTGGTTTCATCATCCAAACACAGTGGTGGTTGTGAGAATTGAATAAGATGTCCATGAAAATGCTTTGCAGACAGAAGTACATTATACAGATTAGTATTAAATGTCTACACATAATCATATCTTTTACTCCTCCTCCCAACCTGCACACCATAAGCAACAGCCTCAGTTTGTTCCCATGCTGAAACGGGCTCAACTGTGATTTCAGCTCCACCCCAACACCAACCATAGAAGAGTTTGGAAAGTCCAAATAATAGGCAAAATCAGAGAAACTGATTGGAACTATTGTGCAAGTGAGGTGGGCATTTTCTTATCCAATTGAATTTAAAAAAATAGAATAATTTTTATAAGAATACATACACATCACTAAAAGTAAGAACACATAAATAAAAACAAACGATATATAAAAGGAGATCCCTCATACCACATACACCAAAGTTCCAAGTGGATTAGAGGACAAATTAAAAAAAATTTTTTTTAATTATTATGTATACATAACAATTGTATATATGTATGGAGTAGATGTAAAATTTTGATATAAGCACACAAAGTTAATGACTGAATCAGGGTTATCAGCATACCCATCACCTCAAGCATTTTTATCATTTCGTTGTGTTAGGAACATTCCAGTTCCATTCTTTTAGTTATTTAAAAATATACAATAAAATATTGTTAACTATAGTCAACTTATTGTACTACCAAATATTAGGTCTTATTCCCACTAATCACCTATATTTTTATACCCAATAGCTTTCCCCTCTTCATCTCCAGCTCCCTACTACCCTTCAAAGCCTGTAGTAACCATCATTCTGCTATCTCCATGAGTTCAATTTTTCTTTCTTTTTTTTTTTTAATCTTTTTAGCTCCCACATTTGAGTGAAAATGTGGTATTTTCTGTGCCTGGCTTATTTCACTTAACATAATGTCCTCCAGTTCCATCCATTTTGCTGCAAATGATAGGATTTCATTCTTTTTTAATGGCTAAGTAATATTCCATTATGTATATCTACCACATTTTCTTTATCCATTCATCCACTGATTGTCACTTAGGTTGAGTCCTAGGTTGGCTGTTGTGAATAGTGCTGCAATAAACATGGGAGTGCAGATATTTCTTTTGATATACTGATTTACTTTTTGGGGGGGTATATACTAAGTAATGAGATGGCTGGATCACATGGTAGTTCTATTATTAGTTTTCTGAGGAACTTCCACACTATTCTCCATAGTGGCTGTACTAACTTGCATTCCCACCAACAGTGTATGAGTGTTCCCCTTTCTCCACATCCTCACCAGCATCCGTTACTGCCTTTTTGATAGAAGGCATTTTAATTGGGGCGCGATATCTCATTGTAGTTTTGATTTGCATTTCTCTGATCATCAGTGATAGTGAGTATGTTTTTACATACTTGTTGGTCATTTGCATGTCTTCTTTTGAGAAATGTCTATTCAGATCTTTTGCTCATTTTAAAATCAGGTTGTCTTTTTCTATTGAGTTGTTTGAACTCCTTATTTATTCTGGTTAGTAATCCCTTGACAGATGGGTAGTTTGCAAGTATTTTCACACATTCTGTGGATTGTTTCTTCACTTCGTTAATTGTTTCCTTTGCTATGCAGAAGCCTTTTAGCTTGATGTGTTCCTGTCTGTCCACTTTTGCTTTGGTTGCCTACGTTTTTGAGGTCTTCCTTAAGAAATCTTTGCCCTGACCGATTTTCTGGAGTGTTTTCTCAATATTTTCTTCCAGTAGTTTCAGAGTTTCAGTCTTAGATGTAAGGTTTTTCTTTTTCTTTTTAGACAGGTCTTGTTCTGTGGCCCAGGCTGGAGTGCAGTGGTGTGATCATGGTTCACTACAGCCTCAACCTCCTGGGCT